CCCCCCCCCCCCCCCCCCCCCCCCACTCTCCACCGTCTGCTTTCATATCGAGTTCCTTTTTTGTACCGTAAACTTGAATGCAAACTTAACTGCACTTAGTTCATCATGTTTTCTAAAGTTGTGTTGAACAACCTCCTACCAAGAACTGTGACCCCCTCCCCTCTGATTAATTTTATAGCTAACTTCTCAGTTAAATCCCACTGCTGAAATCTTTTAAACCCATTCGCCGAGTTGCTTGTATTTCTTTTTCCCGAACAAAATATTTCTGAGATCTTTCCAGTGCGAAAGGAAGCAATCCCTTTCGTTTCTTTGCACAATATTCGGAAATTCTGCTACCATGAAATAAGAGCAGAACACAGTCACTGCTTCAAGTTTGCAACTGACAGACGATCTGAACACTGTAAGTCTAGGTAAAGAAAAAAACCCGAAGGTAAACAGTCCTTTGCAATAAGGTCTGATAAAGTTACGTATGATTTCGTTCCAGCAAGACCGACAGTCCGGGTGATGTTGCCAGCAACTCCTGTGAGTTGCGCAATCAGAAGAAGAGCTTTACAGCCATCACTTGAGCATATTTGAAGAAAAGAACAACATACTGCTGTGGTTTCGATCTCCTTCACGCGCTTCTCCAACAAAGCATTGCTCTTCATAAGATGATCCATTTTACGATTTCGATTCTGGAAACAACAAATACATAAAGTGACAGCGGCTGAGATGCACTTTAGGAAAAGATAAGACCGAAAAGGGACTACGCTCGGCCCTGGGCGCATCACACAATTTACAGCTGCTGGGATTTTGTGGATTGATAAATACACAACAAATTTTAAATGGCACAGCAAGCAGCTGCTTTTTCCCATAAATCGGTGAGGGCAGACTGCTTGAGGCGCATCCAGCCTTAGTGAGGGATGATGATTTGAGGTTAGCTGCAGGGCTGCCTTTTTTCAAATCCTTTCAATACAATCCTACCAAGCACCCTATGGATCAAAAATCTTTTGAAAGCAAAGTTCATACAGCGGACGACGAAAACTTCGCCAATAAATTGCTCATGATGGTAACTATGAAGGAAAATTACATAAAAGGGTTTTTAACGCTTATAAAGGCCAAAGAAAACTGGATGTGAAAATGATTATCAAAAACGCTAGAGCTACTGAATTGAAAATTCGTTTTGGCTGTAATTTGGGAAAACACCAAGCGCAGCAGATCTTAAGCAATCGAGAGTTAATTCAAAAAAAAGTGACTACTGACCTGCGACTCATTTTTGTACTGTTGCAAGCTTTGTAGATTTTGATTGCGTTCCATCTCAACCTGTGAGCAACGTTTTTCGGTCGATGCTAATTCCTGAAAAACACCGATGTAGAGATACAATGATAAGCTGCAAGTGAAATTCAACACAGAGCAATCTCGCTTAACACACATCAAAGAAACACCAAGCTCACGTATGTCACTCCATATCGGTAATTCAATTCAGAAATACAAAAAAACCAAAAATAAAAAATTGGCCTCCCAGCCAACAGATTAAGAAATCATGGCTCAGAATTTGCAATATTTGAGACAGGGTGCGATGCTCTCACGTACACTGAAGACAACTCGCAACACAAAATCTTGCCAAGCACTTTTGCTGAGGGAAGTTTTTAGCTTCTGCCGAGGGAACTTTTCAACTCACCGCTTTCAGCATGTCAATTTGTTGTTGATATGGCTTTGTATCAACGGGCGGAGGAGTGGCGTGAATCACACTTTCGGCTTTCTTCCGCTTTTCTCGCTCTGCACTTAGATCGGTTTGCAGCTACAACGAGATTTATCACTCCAAGCCTCGAAAAAAAAAGAAAAAAAAAACTAATGAGTGGTAAGAACAACGGCACTGGTGAGAAATGCTACGCTGTAGATGTGTTTGCACAGTAACATCAATAGAAGATGAACATTTAAAACTCATCAATTGCAAGCCCGGATTATCTTTTAAGGAAAGCACTTCAGCGGGGAATTATACGAAATTTCTTCGCATTCGGATAAAAAGAAAAGCGTTAGACAAATCGGAAAATTTGCGTAAACTCATTCCCAAATTCCAGCAACAGAAGTAACTCCTACAAATTGATTTTTGGAACTTGCGCAGCTTCTGCAGCACCAAAAAATGAGGGAAAAGCCATGTAAAATCATAACAAGCTACTGCTTTCCGCTCTAGAGAGACAAACAATACGCCAAATAGCAGTGCTGTAAACCAGTTTCTTAAATATCACGGTAGAGACTTGAGATCTTTGCCTTGCCACATACAGAATATTAGTTGATTGCGAAGAATGCCCCACACCCAATCATAAAAATTGTAAGGCAAAAATTTACGTGAAACACAAAATGTGTAAGTTAGTCCATGCAATCATCGCCGGCAAATCTATTCATTTTCAAAGTCAAGAAGAGAGGGCAAAAACAAATCCTGTAGTGCACAAAAAATATGTGAAAGAAGAGATGGCACATGGTTTGGTGCCTGGTAATGCATGAAAGAGGCTCACCTGCTCACATTTACGCTGCAAAAACGCTTTCTCTTGGGCACTGCTACTCATCTGTGAGCACACTGTCTGCTCGAACAGTCTGTACTTCTTCTTCTCAACAGCCAGCGTCTCCCTTAACTCATTGTAAAAAAGCTGTGAAAAAAAGTGTTCCATCAAATTAAGTATCTCTAGAAGCATGGAATGATACTAGTTCGCACTCCCCGTGTGCAGAAGATGTCGATGCTATTGGAATGTGGGCGCTTACGCTTAGCACAGCTATGAGATGCCGGGGCTCCTAGGCCTCTGCTATCTTCCCTCTGTCATAGCATTTGAGCAAAAAACAACTTGATGCTCAATCTGAGGACTCAATCAAAAAACAACTTGATGCTCAAAAAACAACTTGATGCTCAATCCCTCGGCGCATACTTACAGAGTCTTCCAATATGGAGCCGTCCAGGTCAAAAACAGAAACTGGATAGCTTGGTGCGTCTGTGGAACGGAACTGGGAATGAGGAAGAATCACTTATAAAAAAATTGCAACTCACTGAAGAAGTGCAATTTCGGAATCTTTTGCTTCGGCTGCCACAAGTCTGTCTGTGTACTGAAGAACAAGACGTTCCTTGTCCGCCAGCTGCTTTCGAATTAATGCAATTTCATCACTATGCCGGGCTTTCTGAAATCAAATGACAAAATACAGCAGAGATGGAACAAAGTGCGACACTGTCTCATCAAATAGCTCAAAACGCTCAACATATTTTTCTCTTTAACAGGAAACTCATTTGTCCCAGAATTCCCTGTGCCAACCGGCTTCTTGAGGCTAAGCAGCCGGTTAGCAGTGCTACTTGAATTCGCTCAACCGCTGGCTTCTTTTTCTTTCGAAACCCCACCTTGCCCAATACAATCGCAGTTAAGTCAACTCTTCCATCCTGAGTGTTATCTGCGCCTGCTACACGACTGTCGGATTCTGGAATTTAGCAAAAAAAACCCCTTGATTGGCAAAAAGCGAACTGCTCCACTTATTAATTGCTCCAATGGCCACAGTTATACCATGTTTCTCACTCTGGAAGTCCCCTTCCGAAAGCGGACAAGGGAAGGCAGGGAAAAGGAGGAAGAGAGAGGGACGGGAGAGAGGGGAAAAGTATTGGGAAATTAATTGAATATTCATGCAGCAAAAGAAATGCAATACGCCAAGCGGTTCTCTTCAAAAGGACAAAAAAAAAAA